TATCTAGTTCTTTTGAAAGGGTACCACAGTTTTGTACCTTTTTTTTCTGAGAGACTGAAAGATTCCCATGAGCTACATTTTGGAATTTATTGCATTCTATACTGTTGTTACTATACTGTTTTTACTGTTTAAGTCATTTAAATTTTGCCTGTTGTGAATCACCATTCCCATTGAAATCAACAGAACAGTTTTTTTGTGACGCACTGTTCCTCAAAAATGAAAATTGTGTCATGATTTACTCACCCTCCACTTGTTTCAAACCCGTATGAGTTTCTTTCTTCTGTTGAACACAAAAGAAGATATTTTGAAGAATGTTTGTAGCCAAACAGTTGATGGTAGCCATTGACTTCCATACTATTTTCTTTCCATACTATGAAAGTCAACGGCTACCGGCAACTGATATTTTCTTTATCTCTTTCTTTATTTTCTTCTGCATTCTCTTTCCTCTTCTTCTCTATATTTTATTACTATATTATTATTATTATTATTTGTCTATTCTCTTTATTATTAGTGTTTTATTATCTTAAATTATATTTGTATGTCTGTACTTTCTGTACTGGAAGCTCCTGACACCAAGACGAATTCCTTGTGTGTGTAAACACACTTGGCAATAAAGCTCTTTCTGATTCTGAACTGTATGATTACCAACATTCTTTAGAATATCTTCTTTTGTGTTGAACAGAAGAAAGAAACTCACACAGGTTTGAAACAAGTGCAGGGTGAGTAATTCATGACACAATTTTCATTTTTGGGTGAACGATCCCTTTAACCAGAATATGGATAATTAGATGCTCATGTAAACATAGTCAATGTTCTGCTTGCGCCGACACACACAGCAAGCCTCAAAAGTCTTTACTATGAGCTTACTGACCTGATATAGCCTAATCCAGACCCATTAAGGGAGCAACACTTACCGTGTGGGGAAGGTGGGGTCGTACATATAGCCCAGCACCTCGTGTGGATATCCCATTGACACCAGCCTGTCCCTGAGCAGCTCAAAGCCCAGACTCTCATACTCTGGAGACTTATACACTGTTGAAAACCAGAGAGTCGATGTGAACGAAGCACTTCACACATAGTCTGACAGCTTGTCCCAAAGGTGCTATAAACGCTCTCACCTGCCAGAGTGTAATCCATGTCGAAGCCATAGCACTTGATGTTTTCAAGTGTCAAACTCCGGTTCACAAACACCCTGAAGGGAAAGACAGGAGGTTATTTCCATTACTTTGATGGGTAGGTCAACACTACCTTTCTCACAGTTATCGATTTGCTTTTATCCACAGTAACTTACACTGCATTCAAGTTATAATCAAACCCACAACCTCAGTGTTGTTCAGGCTATGCTATATCAGCTTATCTACAAGAACACATTATACCGCCAAAAGTAGTCATTTACAAAGTGTTTGCATTCAAACTCGTGCAGTGCTTATCACATGTCACTATGTATCATGTCAGCACAGTTTAGGTCTGTTCTTATCAGGTCCCTCACATATGACATCAGTCCAGCTGGTGTGAGGTAACTGCTGCTTAAAAGACGTAAAGACTGGCACACTCTCTTCTTGGCAGTTTTTCTATGTAAGCCAGTCACGTTTTTATATTTAGGGTGGAAAGTACAGACTAAGAAATCTAAAAATAGACCATGCAGTTTGATTAAATCAAATGATATTTTAAATGTTACAAGCTCAACAGTCAATTAATATTGAATATGAGAAAGAAAGCTTGAAATGTTTATAGGAGCAAAAAAAGAATTTGAAAAAAATGTGAATAGAACAGAATTGCTCCACATTTTGTCCCAACTGCTTAAACGCAGTTGTCTGAACAAATTTGTTGTGTTGTGAAATTAAGACACTTTTGGTTTATCACATTTTTGTTGTTGTTGCTGATTGTCACCATTGAGGTTTGTGTATCAAGTATTAACATCTATGTAAAATTCTAACAAGAAAGCATAGTACATTTGACATATTAAGTGTCTGCCATGTTGAAATACATATAAAACATACATACATATGTATATATCTAACACAAGCGTTCACAAGTATTCTTTTTCTGTTCTATCTACTTGTTTTCTTTTTATTTATTGTAAAAAAAAAGAACTTCCTACGTGTACTGTGTTAGACTAACCAGGACTTGTCACAGCACTTACATATTGTTGCTCTTTTGTTGGTTTGATTGCTTCTATTGTCCTCATTCGTAAATCACTTTGGATAAAAGCATCTGCGAAATGACTAAATGTAAATGTGTGTGCGTGTATATATATATATATATATGAAATCAACAATTTATATCTCAAATCTCAATATTTATATCTCAAAATGATACAATTTGAAATTTGTTGAAAAAGCAAATAGTTGCTTGATGACTATTGTTTTTATTCTAAACAATTAATTGTTTTATGTCGAGTCTCCGTGACTCACTCGGGTTCCGCTGAAGATGTAAAAGAGGTTGTGTCATTAGTCATGTGTTTGCAATGTCATATACAACTTTCTTGTCACAGGTTTTTTTTCCACGTTTGTTGACAAACATGAATTCCTAAAGGGATAGATCATCCTAATATGAACATTCCTTTAACTCATCCTTTTGTGTTCCACAGAAGAAATAAAGTCATACGGAGTAAAAAAAAATCATACTTTTAGGTATTAACTATTCCTTTAAGTCTGTGTCCAAAACCTTGATGATGACAAAACGTGAATTATCTGAAATGTTGTGACTGCTCATCTATGACTAACTATTCAAAGAGAACAGAAACAATCAGTCTTTAATCTTTAAATAGATAAGAGTAATCAAACAAACAGGACTGTAAATTACAATTACAATCAACCAAACCCTAACCCTGTAGTATGTACATATCACTCAGTAGTATGTAATTACACTGTAACACCTTTAACACTGTAAAATCAGTTATTGTTTTAAGAAAGATGTATGGTGTTATTGTTTGAAAGAGGTACATTTGGTTCAGATATGATCTGGGGCATTGGTTCAGGTGTATGTGAAAGTGTGTGATGCTGGAAGTCAATCTATATCCATTAAAGTCTGTCAGTGGAGCTAAAGTATATTATCATCTCATTAAAACAAACAAATACTAAGAGCTGTGACTCGGAGGTTGGTTAAACGCTGCTGTCTGCACCTGGATGCATGTGTAAAAGTGCCTGTTCTTACCTCTGAATGATTTCTCTTTTGGCGGCGCGCGGCTCCATCGCGAGAGTGCGGTCTGCTCCACAGATCTCTCGCTATTATTATAACCAGCAGTGTGAAGCTGTCACGAACCTCCTCTTTGCGCTTTAAATTGTACCATGATGCTGACATCACCAGTGCACGTTTTCCTTGGGTTTGGCGTGTAAACAGGAGCCCTATGTGCGTAATTTGGGCGTATGTGGGATGCACGCGAACACGGGTGAAGTTTGGCTGCAGCGCGCGGCTCGAGCAGTAGATTGTGTTATCAGAGCGCCGCACGCGCAAAGCTCACGTTCAGCGCCCAAACACTTGACAATCAAACCCGCCGGGCTCACCACAGTCATGCGCATTTACAATTAACCTCGCATCAATATTTCATTTAGCGCAGCCTTCCTCCCTTCATTCACGTTCAGGAGAAGAGAGTACGTCCCTTACGCCGGGGCAAGTTGTCACAGTGGCTATACCTCAGTAACCAGTCGGGACAAAAGTTGTCACGTGAGTTTTAAATGTTGCAAATGTATACATTTTATTATTATGATTATGACTATTATAATCAATCATAATTATCTTTTTTTCCCGGTTTCTTCATGGTTTTACTGATTAAATGTTACTGAAAAAAAAAGACCAAATAGTTCACTCCAAAATGAAAATTTTAGTAGTGATGTTTTATTATTATATATTATTATTATACTATTTATAAATATTTTGAATCAGCTTTCATTTTATTATTATTATTTATAATTTTCAGTTTTAATTTTAAATTGAATTTGTCTTAATTGTATGAGCTTTTGTCAATTTTATTAGTTTTTAAAAATACTATTATTATTTTGTTAATACATATTTTGAATTGGCTTTTATTTTTTATATTTTCAGGTTTCATTTTAGTTTAAGATTTAATTTATGGGCTCAATTATTATAATTCTTTTCCATTTCTATTTAGCTTTAATTAATTTTTATATTAGTTTTAATTATTTTAGTACTTGAACTAATTTTATTTCAGTTAGTTGCCAAGGCAACATTTCTCATTTTCATTTAAGTTGTTAGGTTTTCACCTAATATTTGCATTTCATTTTATATTTCAATTAACAAAAACAATTTTACAGGTTTTTTTTCTTCAAGTGTTTTTGTCCATACAATGGAAGTCAACAGTAACCACGACTGTTTGGTTATAAACATTTTTCAAAATATCCTTTTTTGTGTGCGTGTTCATCAGAATAAAAAAATATTTCTTCAGTTTTTATGGTTGCTAGTTTTTGAATTATTTTATTTTTTTGGAATAGTCAATCCAAATAAGACCACATGAAAAACATTTACTGTAATTGAATAAAAGAATAAAACAGCCACATGGTGTAAACATTAAGGCAATTTTCTGAGCAGTTTAAGTGAGCCTCATATATATGAATTATGAGAGATGCCACATTACATAGTCATTTTGGTGTAGTCCAATATTTAATTTGATAACTTTATGGTGTGGTAAGAGGTCAACACACCTCTGAGGATTCGATAGATACTCAAGCCTTACTAATCATTCTACAGAGCCATCCAAGGAGCAGTGTCAATAAAGTCATTGCACCACAGCAGTCGTATCAGGCCAAACCTAAATCAGTGTCCCTTGGCATGACAAAGTACAAATATATTGATTCAACATTCAGTTCGCCTCTAATTGAAATTGGATTTTGAGTTTACAAATGGGATGTGGCTTACAGTTTAACATACTTGATGTCACCAACAGAATAGCCGAACAGACCACACAGCTGTCAACCTAAAGAACGAATTACTTTTTATTGATCAGTGTCTGATTTGACTACATGACTGATTCTGAACTGGTGCTAAAGCTTGGTGATCTGGATGTTGTTTATATGTATTGAGCTCAGTTTGGACTGTAGTGAGTGTCTGCGTTTCTGGTGCATTCTCTTAAAGTCCTCTGTGATCTCCAGAACAGTTTTATTCTTTGTCTCAGGCACGTGGAACCACACAAAAACGCCAGAGAAGAAGCAGAACACAAAAAATATGAGGAAGCAGAAATAATCCAAATGCTCCTGCAATGGAAAAATACATTAGAAAGGAATAACTAACTGTGAATAAGTTTCAATGGTGTATTCTGTCATTTTATGTCATCTTAGACTTATACTGTTCCTAGTGGTGTTCGTTTTAACGAGAAAAGATGCCGTTTTAACGAGAAAAGATGCCGTTTTAACGACATAATTGAGTGGAAAAAATAATATGTGTGCGGCAGCAATGCGTCACCGTATTAACGGGATAGCTCACTCAAAAAAGAAAATTCTGTCATTAATTACTAACCCTCATGTCATTCCAAACCCGTAAGATCTTCATTCATCTTCGGAACGCAAATAAAGATATTTTTGATGAGATCTGAGAGCTTTCTGACCCTCCATAGACAGCAAGGTAACTTCCACATTCAAGGCCCAGAAAGGTAGTAAGAGCATTGTTAAAATGGTCCATGTGACATCAGTGGTTCAACCGTAATTTTACAAAGCTATGAGAATACTTTTTGTGTGCAAAGAAAACAAAAATAATGACTTTATTCAACAATTCTTCTCCCGCGAGTTACCATCTACATCATTATCGAAAGTAACACGATGTATGCGCGTGATGATGCTGACGTAGAACACGCATGCGCTGTGCCTTGTTTACGAGCAGAGGAAAGCACACGCATGCGTTGTGGTACTCTTTTGCGCACAAAAAGTATTATCATAGCTTCATAATATTACGGTTGAACCACTGATGTCACATGGAATATTTTAATGATGCCCTTACTGCCTTTCTGGGCCTTGACTGTGGTAGTTACCTTGCTGTCTATAGAGGGTCAAAATATCTTAATTTGTGTTCCGAAGACGAACGAAGGTCTTACGGGTTTGGAACAACATGAGGGGGAGCAATTAATGACAGAATTTTAATTTTTGGGTGAATAAACCCTTTAATGTATGCAAAAGCACACGTTTTCAGCTACAGATTCCAATGTAGAAGTGCACTATTTTACATTAAGGCATGATTAATTGCCTGAAAGTGTTGCCTAACAAGAGGAGTAACCAAATAAACTCAGTACAATTCATCTGCTCATGTGATCTCAAAATGGCAGCCTCCATAAAGAGACCCGGCTCCATGTAGGGGTGTGCGATATTTATCGTCTACGATAAAATCGTAATTGTTGTTTTAACGATATGCAAGCTGACATTATCAAGTATGTCACTCACTTCGAAAAAAACAAACAAATACACGTCTTGAGAGTTCAAAAGCATTCACTGCGTGATGAAGCC